TATATATATATATATATATACTTTGCTGGTTTTTTGTGTTTCTCTAGAGAACCCAATCTAATACAGTGACCAAAGTTGGGTCACTCGAGGGCTGGGCCACCCTAGGGCTGGGCCACCCTAGGGCAGACTGTATTGCTTGTCCTTTCTTTCCCTAGTGAGGGCTGGGAAACATGTAGAAACTTGGGTGTCTCCCTTCCTTGAGGCCTCAAGTCCAGTACTAATGAAAGGAAGAACACTGCCTCCCAAGGAGCAGCTCCTTGCTGGAACCCTGTATGCTTTCCTCTGGACCCACAGATAAATTTTGGGGAGAAAATCTTAGCAGATCCATGATCAACCCCTTCGTCTGAAGCTGCCCCAACCCTGGAGCAAACCGAAGGACAATTATCCCAAAGGAGAGTTATTGTTTTGCTAATGCCTGAAAGCATAGTGGCTAAGGCACTTGACTGCTAACCAGAAGGCTGGTGGTTCAAACCCACCACCCACTCCTCGGAAGGAAGATGGGGCAATCTACTTCCGTAGTGATACTGCCTTGGAAACCCAAGGAGGGGTCGCTATGAGTCGAGTCCAACTCCACAGCATATAACAACAACAACAACAACAATGCCTGGAACAGTTTACAGAGATTTGGGTCTTTCTTTAACAATGAGGAGTTAATGTGAGCCTTTTGTATTATCTTCATCTGAAGCCCCTTGCTTAATCTGTGTGTTTAGCCGCAGAGGACCCAAGGGAAGGGCAGCGCAGGAGACCCACTTTGCTGTGGTGGATCAAGGTCGAACACGGAAGCAGCACGCGTTGTCCAGACTAAGGTCTCAGAGAGTTAGCCCCTCCTGTGCCCGGTGCTTTTAGGGCTCTATGTTTGGGAACTCCAGGCTTCCGGTAATGCACCAGAGGTGCGTGAGGGTGGCCAGAGATGAATGAAGGACACAAGAAATTAAAATTTTTTAAAAAAAGGAGTTCAGTTTTGATCCGCTGCCTCTGGAACCAAGGTCTCAACTTTGTAACCAGTGGCAGGAGTGGCCTCCCAGTCTAAAACACAACATGGGAGTTTGACATGAAAAAGTCTTCATTTGGATTAGTATAAAATCCAACAGATCCTATTTTCCAATTTACATGTCTCTCATTTAGGGTTACCAGATACAATACTGGGACATATTTATGCTTTTAAAAAAATTATTTATATGAAATTCAAATTTAACTGGGCCTTCTGTATTTTCAGGATCTCTGATGGCATAGTGCCTAATGCATTTGACTGCTAACCAGAAGACTGGAGGTTCAAACACACTAGCCACTGCTAGAAGGAAGGTTGAGCAACCTAATTCTGTAGTGATACCACCTCAGAAACCCAAGGAGGGGCCGCTAGGAGTTGGATCAGACTGGACGGTAGTGTGTTTTTTGTTTTTGTATTCTCACCTACTAGATCTGGCAACGTTGCATCCATTGTCTTAGCCTGGTCTGCACTCTCATGCTTATCGCCTATCTGCTTCTTGTCTTTACCCTCTTATTTTTCCTTGTCCTTACTCCAACTTCCACTGCGTTTCTGACACCCTGCAGCTCAGAGTGTACTGAGGTGGAGTTGGTAACACGGTGGAGTGGCATGGAATAAAATAAACTTTTCCACCTCCTTTCCCTAAGAGGATCCTAGAGAAAGGTCTTTTTGGTCCCAGCAGTGGAACTGGAGGGCTGGCAGGGTTCGTGTTGATGGTCGGGGTACGGGAGTGGCTAGGAATTGGAATCTTAATGGACGATTGAGTCATGTCATGGTGGCTTCAGCGCGGCTGGGAGCTGGGCTTTCAACCCAGCTGGAAGGGAAAGGAAGACCGCTCTGGGGTCTGGAACCCGCTGCTTTAGAAGGCCTGGCAGACAGCGAGGTCGATGTCTCTCCCTCCTTTCTTTGCCCCAAGAATTGAAGAGGTTTGGAGTGGAGTGACAGCTACTGAAGTGTTGAGACGGGTGCTGCTGCGAGAGCGATCAAGGGGAGGGAAACGGGTGGCGTCCGCATCTCGTGGGGTCTAGAGTAGTGACGAGCCCGTGCCACTCTGATTGGAGCCCTCTGGACCTTCCGCAACCGAAGGGGCGCCCAGTAGTATAAAGTGTCCTGAGTTGGGTCCCCTCCGCAAAGGAGACATGGAGGAGGTCGCACCTAACTGGCTGAGAAGCCATGACTCGGCGAGATGAACTTTCCGACCGGCAGGCCTGGAGCAGGGCGTGGGTGACAGTCGGGGTCCTTCCTGGCCCGCGCCCTCATGGCTTTGCTATCACTAACCTGCTGGGCTTGGACGCGGAGCTGCCGGCGCCCTCCAGTCCGGGACTGAAATCTGGTTACAAGGAACCCGCCAACACACTTTTCCCAGGCCTGGGGCTCAGTGGCTCCTGCCTGGTGGGCGGTGCCCTCCTACTGGGGCTGAGCCTCCTCTGCTGCTTTGGCCCGCAGCCGCCCGCGGCCTCTCGGACACCCTGCTTGCTTTTAGCCGACTTGCCGTTCCTGTCGCCGGGAGTCCCAGAGCCCACCACTCGGTCGCACCGTCTTGACGCGCCGCCCCAGCTCCACAGCGAGAAACGCAGCGAGAGCGTCTCGGTATCCGGTAACAAGACCCACGCGTCCTGCTCCTGCCACTATTCCCCTGAGCCTCAGGCGCGCAGAGGTAACATGGCATCCCCCACTGTGCCCCACCCCAGACCTAAGGGGAAACGGGACCTCCTAGTGGGGTCCAGTCAAAGGAGGTGTATCTTTGCAGCAATGCTCAGCCCAGTCTTTGCCTCTGCGCCCCTGCCCCTTGCTGGATCTCAGATCCTGCCTCCCCTGCGGGAACCTGCGGCTGCAGCACTGCAGTTCTGAGCCTACAGGGGTAGAAGTGGGGGTGGGGGAGGGTCCTGGGGACTCAGCAACCGTCTCCAGATGGCCTTTCCTGAGCACCCCAGCGCAAACCTCCGGATTCCGGAAACCGCGTGGATTGGAAAGGCGTGGGGTTGGGTTGGTCACCAGTAACACAGAACCTGGTACTCAGTGATCTCTCAAAGGCCAGCTGAGTGAATCACTTGAGAAATCCTTGGCTAATGAACCTATTTCGGGCCTTGGAGCTGTCCGTCTTCTGGGCGTGCTGAAAACAGTGTCCCTGAGTATCATGCTTCTCTCTGCGCATTCACCCAAACAGTGTGGGAAAGGATGTGACCTCGCCAGTTTCATTGTAGTTAGACTTTTGTTTGCTTCTCACCTATATCCACAAAGAAGTTGAGGTGGATTATGGTGGAAGAGAAAGAAGCAATGAAACAATGAAATTCTACAAAGGGCAGGGCCAATAAATGGAGAAGTGTGTGGTGTAGGGAAATGAAAAAAAGAACTACACAAGAAAACGTGGCTGAGGAAAACTGTATGTAATAGAACCGAGAACTGAAAAGTGAAGCAAAAAGGGATGTATCAGAATATTCTGAGCCTCACTAATAATGAAAGGAGGTCCATAGCAGGCAGGTTCTCAGTTTTGAGCTTTGAAAAGATTTATTTCAGAAGTCTGTAATAAGGTGTTTTAGTTACTTTGTGCTGCTCTAACAGAAAATACCGCAATGGGTGGTTTTAACAAATAGGAGTTTATTCTCTTGCCATTTTGGAGGTCAGAAGTCTAAGCTCAAAGTGCCAGCACTAGGGGCTGGGTGAAAGCTCTGCTTCTAGCTGCTGGCCTACTGGAGCTAGAGGTGTTTCTTCACTCAGGCAGCTGCTGGCTGCTGGCTGAGGCTGACAAACCCTAGGTTGACAAAAGCAATGGCACAGTTCCAATATTACCACATAACATGGCAGGCTACTAGTTCAAATCCAGAGACAATCACAAGATTGGTGGGAAACATGGCAGGCTGTTAAGTGAAGACTCTGCTACATGCAGGATTCAAGCATGTTAAAAGCTGCAGACCATTCCTAAAGCTTCTCCTTATATACCAGAAGCAAACCACATCCCTAAAGCAGCTATTCAGCTTCTCACAGCAGATTCCACCATGGACTTGATTACCAATCTCATCGTGGGGAATAACTACATTAAATTCCCAGCCTCTCAAAACCAGGCCCAACCAAGTTGACACATAACCTTAACTACCACATAAGGTAAAATGAAACCCTCTTCTAGTTGCTTCACTAAAAACGTAGAAAACACCTTCATAGGATCCATTCTTTCTTCTGTGGCTGCTGATAAAATAAAAAGTAAAATTCAACTGAGTGCTAGTCTGTGGAGACACTGCTGGAAGATATAGAGCAATGGTGTCCAATAGAAATATCCTGTGAGTTATGTGTGTAATGCAGACACATCTCATAGACCACTCAAAAGTCAAAAAGAAATGGGAGGGATTAACACTATTTTTTAGGAGCTCTGGTAACATAGTGGGTAAGGCACTTGACTGCTAACCAGAAGGCTGGCGGTTCAAACCCACCAGACACTCCTCAGAAGGAAGGTTGGGCATTCCTACTTCCGTAGTGATACTGCCTCGGAAACCCAAGAAGGGGTCGCTATGAGTTGGGGCCGACTCGATGGCAAACAACAACAACAACAACACTATTTTTTAAATTTAATCCAATATATTTAAATATTATTTTCACATATAATCAGTAAAAAAAATGCCAAGATATTTTGCATTATTTTTTTTGTTCTGTTGTTGTTGTTAGTTGCTGTTCAGTTGATTCTGACTCATGGAGACCCTATGTATACAGAATAGAACTACTCCATAAGGGAGCTCTGGTAGCATAGTGGCTAAGATACTTGCCTGCTAACCAGACGGCTGGCGGTTCAAACCCACCAGCCACTCCTCAGAAGGAAGGTTGGGCAATCCTACTTCCGTAGTGATACTGCCTCGGAAACCCAAGAAGGGGTCGCTATGAGTCGGGTTTGACTCGACGGCACATAACAACAACAACAACATAAGGTTTTCAAGGCTGTGACCTTTCAGAAGCAGATTGCTACGCCTGTCTTCTGAGGCACTTCTGGGTGGGTTTGAATCACCAACTTTTCTGCTAATAGTTAAGTGCTTAACCCCTTGTCTCATCTAGGAACATTTTTTGAAACTAAATCTCCTAAATCTGCTGAGTATTTCACAGTTACATCAGATCTCAATTAGGACTAATCACATCTCATATACTCTGTGGCCACGTGTGGCTGAAGTCTACCGTATTTGGTAAAATGTACATATAATATTATAGTTCAAACATACAATTTTCAGTTGAACTAATTAATGTAGGAGTAAAACTAATATGATTCTATTATTATCTTTTCTGTTACTCATTCTTTTATAATATTTTGAGGCAAGTATACTTTTGAGCAATGAACCTTCTAATCTTTCTTCCCATGGATCTTTTGATATAATATATATGAAAATACAAACATAATGTATTGGTTCTTGATTTTTAAAGTGCATATGAATCACTTGGGCAGCCTTGTTACAATGAGTTTCCTGGCATCTACCTCTATAGATTCTGAATTGGTACATCAGGACAGGGGTGAAGTTCTGACAGTGATTCTGATGTCACAAACCTTATCTCTCCTTTTGAGAAACACTGGTATAGGAAATGAGGAAGTTGGAACAGAGGGAATATGATTAGTTTGTATGCTGTGGGGGTCAGAAATATAATTAGTGGCTAAGTGGCTTTGGCATCACAGTCTGGAGTTTGAATCCCAACTTCAATAATTTATGACCTGTAAGCACTTGGGCAAATTATTTAACATGTCTGTACTTCTGTTTCCTCATTTGTAAAAACAGGACAATAATAACAGCTATTTTGAAGTTTCTACTTCATTTTGTGAGGAATATTTGAGATAATGCATGGACAATGCTAAAGCACACTGTCAAAAACATAACAGCAACACAAAACCTCACTACCATTGATTCAATTCCAACTCACAGTAACCCTGTTGGGTTTCTAAGGCTGTACATTTTTACAGAAGCTGACTGCCTCATTTTTCTTCCATGGAGCAGCTGGTAGGTTCGAACTACCAGTCATTTGGTTAGCAGCCAAATGCCTTAGCCATTATACTACTAGAGCTCTTAGTCAGGAACATAGTAAGTGGTAAAAATGTTACCTTTTATTGTTACATAATCACATTTCCACACAGGTTCATAAATACATATTAAAATATGAAACTAAATTCACCTTTATAATTTCTTCTCTCCTTGTGGTAACAGATAAGGATATCCCGTCTGAAGACAGGAGTGACCTAAAGGCACTCAGCACATCAGGAAAGACTAAGAAACAGAGGCACAGGTACAGTGTCAGGCCGTCTTCTGACTGCCTTTCCTTGTGATACAGCTGCCAGTGCTTATGGGGCCAGTGTTGAGAGTTCATAGTCCTGGGTCATGACAGGCCCAGTGACTCCTGGTTGGCAGTGGGAAGGGCACAGTGACAATTTGGGAACATAACTATGCTTTTTCCAGAGGGTTCAAAACAATCTTTGCAGCATTTTCAATACCTAATTTTGTAGGTTTTTAAAATGGTTTTTCTTAGACTGATTTGATGGAATTTATTGAGGAGGAAAAAGAGCTCAAGCACTGTTTTGTCTGAGCCCAATTTATGGATTTTCCAGAATGTAATTGCTCAAGGCCAAAAGAGGAAGAGGTGGGGTGGTCATTTAAACCAAGCTCATCTTTTGGGATGTGTGAATGGAGAGGCAGGAGCAGTCCTCTTCTGAAACTGAGAAGACCAGGCTGCCCCTGTGGATGCATGCATATGCTTATGTCTGGGCCTCCTTGCAGAAGAGTTTTCACTGCCCACCAGCTGGAAGAGCTGGAGAAGGCATTCAGCAAGGCCCATTACCTCAACGTATACACTCAGGAAACACTGGCAGTGAAAACCAAGCTCCCTGAAGACCAAGTACAGGTACACATGGTCCTTTCTTTCCAGAGACACCTCAGAGACCACTGGGCTGCTGTTCCCACACACAGTGAATTCAGTCACAGCCACTTCCAGATACCCAGAACATTCCTAACCACTTGCAAACTGATGGTCACTTATTCTAAGGCCCCACAACATGGGGCCTCCACATAAGTACTTCAGGAGGATATCCTGGTCACTTTTAGCCTGTCTTCCTTTCATTACATCCTTTACAATTACACAGTAATGGGTGAGGGACAACTAGAAAAAAAAAAAAAAAAAAAAAAAGTATTAATGAAAATAATGATTATCCACCTCCAACCTTCAAAGAAACTAACGTTAAGTCACTTGATGGGACCTCCCTATACACACTGTCTTCATGTCATATCTGCAAAAAAGTATAATATATGTAAACACACCAAACTTACTATCATTGAGTCAGATCTGACTCATAGAGACCCCACTTTGGGTTTCCAAGACACTATCATTACAGAAGTAGATTGCTCAACCTTCCTTCCAAGGAGGGGCTGGTGGGTTTGAACCACCAGCCTTCTAGTTAGCAGTCAAATGCCTTAGGCACTATGCCACCAGAGCTCCCATAATATATATATGACCCATTATACATATCCCAAATCCAAGATGTTTATGTGAGAGTGTATCTATATATCCCAAGTTATATATATATACTCTCACATACACACTTTGATTTTGCTTTGTTTTTATGAAAAGGTTTCATGTAAGTTAATATCTCACATGGTTTCACACTTAACATCAAATCTTGGACATTTCTTGAGGTCAGAAGATATGCCACTAACTTATTAACAGCTAAATGTCTTCCATAATACTTCTGTATTAAGATACATTTTTTCATGAGAAATTTCCAGCAAGCCAACAACTGAGATTGGAAAGAGCTATTATCCAGTGACTTCTTTCCAATAAAAGAGAAAAACTATTATATATTACAGTCTGCCTTTTTGTACAATGTATGATAAAGAGACTGTTATTTGATTTTCAGTGTCTTACACTATGGAAAACCTTGTGCATTATCCCCACAATACAGCCCCTGTGGTTTTGAGCAAGTGGTGGGAACAGTCTCAAATCTAGAAGCTCTATCTGACTGGGTAGCTGGCCATCTTTAGAAGAATCTCACGTGTAAGGCATCCCCTCATGGTGTCTTTTCCTGTGTATCCCTTCTGCTTCCCCTGCTGTTTCACACCAGGTTTGGTTTCAAAACCGGAGGGCCAAGTGGAGGAAGCAGAAGAAGTGCTGGGGTGGTAGCAGTGTGATGGCTGAATATGGGCTTTATGGAGCCATGGTGCGACATTCTCTTCCACTTCCTGAGTCCGTCATCAATTCATCCAAGGGCAGCTTGGCTGGATCCTGCACACCCTGGCTGCTGAGTGAAAAGAGGGGCCCTGTGTGAGGTGGCTGATCAGAACAAATGGGAGTGGAGTTGTGGTGGCTCCTACCTTAGGGCAGGCCAGTCACTGAGGCAAAATGATATATAGGCACATGATATATATTCATGTAGATTCAGGCCCAGAATGTTTAATCAGATTTTAATTAATCGCAAGCATGGAGTATCTGGAAAATTGCCTTATATTTTCATCAATGCTGTGAAGACTGTGTGGAAAGGTCACATATGGCTATTCATGTTGGTGAATATGTATTAGGGACTTAAGAGAGATGTGATCTACTTGCATTTTGTGAAATGTGTATACAAAATGTTTGGTGTCACTACAAATTTTTGGCAGCTATACAGTACAAAGGGAGCTCTGGTGGCATTGTGCCTAAAGCATGTGACTGCTAACCAAAAGGCTGGAGGTTCAAAACCACCAGCCACTCCTTGGAAGGAAAGTTGGGCAATCTATTTCTATAGTGATACTGCCTTGGAAACCCAAAGAGGGGTTGCTATGAGTTAGATCCTACTCCACAGCAGTGAGTTTAGTTTTTTGGTTTGTTTGTTTGTTTTGTACAGTATAAATGTTCTGAGGAGGCAGTGGTGGTTCAGTAGTAGATTTTTGCATTTCATCCAGGAGACAAATCTGATTCCCGGCCAATATACCTCCAACATAGCCAGTATTCATCTACCAGTGGACGTTTGTGTGTTGCTATGAAGCTGAACAGGTTTCAGTGGATCTTCCATACTAAGATGGACTAGGAAGAAAGGCCTGGTGATCTACTTCAAAAAATCAGCTAATGAAAACCCTATGGATTACAATAGTTTGATCTGTAACCAAACATGGGGATGATACAGGACCAGGCAGCTTTATTCTTCTACTGTGTGTGAGGTCACTATGAGTTGGAGGCTGATTCAGTACTAGATAATATTAACATGCTGGGGACAGGAGATACCAATAATAAATATGATCTTGACTCTGCCCTCCAATATTGAAGACACTAGAGAGAGAATTTTTATCTGAAATTACCCTAGCTCAAGAGTCTTGCAAAGAAGGAAGAAGGGTGCTCATGAAGCTGTTCACTTGGCCCCAGCATGAGCCACATGAGAAAATATGACCAGTGTTGACATTCTAACTTTTCAAGAGAGGCTGGAGGAGGTCTGGGTCTACTTCTGATTTTACAGTGTTGACAACTAATTTTAAAATAAATAAAGCCACTGTGTCATCCAAAGTGCCTTTGCTGACAGCATCCACTGGCAGATGCTGGTTTTTCATGAGTGCCCATGCAGGTGGGGAGACAGGTACTGATGAGAACAATTCTAATGAGTTTTAGAGAACAAAGATTAAAAGAAGTAAGTTTAGTCAATGGCTGGCTTGAAATATGTTTATTTTTATTTTTTCACAAGAGATGCATAAAACATCCACAGAGATGAAAAGTAAACCAGGAAGTGAAGAAAAGTGGACAGGACTCTGGGGCTCTCACCCTCCCCAAGGAGATTCCAGTCCAAGTCAGGAAGGGCATCAGAGTAGCTCGGGTAAAGCAATCCCAGAGTACAGCCTGGAGGACAAGGCCATGGACCTTTCCAGCTCCACCTGGAAGAAGACCAAGAGAGTGCCCCGAGTGGCCAAAGCAGGAGGGAGCTCAGAATCCACAGGCCTGGTGGTGCTCAGGCCTGCGGAAGCAGGAGTCTTGTGAGATTCACAGGCTCCCTGTAAAGGGCAGAAACTGACAAGTTTGCCTCTGAAATCTTTTCAAGAGACAAAAGTTGTCCAAGACAAATATTCCCAGTTGGATTTTATTCTCTTTATGGTGTCAGGATAAGCTACAATGCCACATTCTTGTAAAGGACAAATGAGTGGTTCAGGGAAAATCTCATCTCTTTCTAGAAAGGAAACAATTTCTTAAAGTCACTTGAAAATCATTAATTTGGTATAAAATTTTGTTTATAGAACTGAGGAGGAAAGACTTAAGTTCAAAAAGCATTTTCACTAGTGGGCATCCTAAGATTTAGTTCAATATACAGTGTAGATTAATGAAAAAGGTGTAATGTCCTCACTTTGCATTTGAAAATATAAAATTATTTAACCTCTAGAATACTTAACTGCCTAAACATAGTGAAGACTCCACACATCCATATGAATGAATGATGTTACTTTTATACTTTTCACCTTGAACTTGGCTTTGCTATGCAATAATTCTGTGTTCTCTGGAGTGTTGTTTGATAAATTATACATATGGGAACTCTTAAGAAAACAAAGACATACTGCTCTGAAAAACATGGGACCATCTTTAAACAGCTGTTGAATATCTATAAAACACTGATTCAAGGTCAGACCAGGCTGGTTGGTCTTCTTGTATTTATATCTGAAAGCACGTTAATGATTTGGATTTTATGAGTGTTTCCTTTCCTGTATTAAACAATAAAGATTTTGTGGTGTGCTTGCTTCTCAAGACATGCCTCCATTGCCACTGGTCTCTTGTGGTGGCCACTCACCTTTTATCACTTTTCAGCATTGGAGTTTCTAAGGCATTTTCTCCTTCAAGTTCTGAGTATTCACCCTGCATTGGTTTGTGGGCTCCTTTGTAGGACTATAAACTCTTGTGGGGCAGGGGTTATGCCTAATTCACCATTTGGACTTCAGAATTTAGATTACATGTAATCAAGGCAGAAATGAGGTGCTTCATGAAGAAAGTAGAGCAAGTAGAGGGCATGTGCAAGAAATTTCTGGGGTCATTTTCTGTAAATCATCACAGCAATCTTCCAGGCAGTGCTCAGTGCTCCTATCTGAGGCTCAGTTTTGGGCCCTTGATACATTTTCCCCATCCTATGCTTGTGAAAATTAAATACCATCTTCTCCTTATTTTGGAAGAAATCCTGGCTAATAGATATCATGGCTGAAGCCTGAGACTGAACCAATAATGAGCAGTTTTTGGCAAAGAATTCTGGAAGGATAAGAGACCATAAGCTAGGCTCCAAACTCTGTGCCACACTTGTTCCAACACTTTTCTGCCCTCAGTGGGTTTTCACACATTGTTTTATACTTGTTGCTTATTTTATCAAGGGTTGAGTATGGGGGAGAGAGCCAGTAGCTTGCACAACTTAAAATACTAGGCAGCCACTAAAAATCATAATCTAAAAGCAAACCAAATTCACTGCCTTAAAGTTGATTCCTACTCATAGCAACTCCCTTTGGGCTTCCAAGGCTATAAATCTGTATGGAAACAGATTGCCTCATCTTTCTTTCATGGAGCAGCTGGTGGATTCAAACCATGGACCTTTGGATTACCAGCCAAATGCCTTAACCACTACACCACCAGAACTCATTAAATAAAAAAAAAATCATAGCAGTAAGGTATGATTATTTATGTGGAAAAACATTCATGAAATGTTGTTGAGTTTAAAGTCCCCAAATAAAAGAAATAATAGAAAATGATACAAGCAGAAATAAGCAAATATGTAAAGGAGAATAAAAAGTAAATAAATAAATGTAACAACTGGCTGTATGAAAAATGTACAAATAATTGACACATTTCTCTGTAACATGTGAAGAAAAAGAAAACAGGAATAGGAAAAAGAGAAAGGGGCTAGAACCATTCATATAGACTATTTTAAATGTATAGTAATATTACTATATACTTTTTCCAACTGAAATTCATATTAATATATTTTTTAAATCTCATGCAAATGGTTATATTTTCTGGAAAAATACATTTTACTAATTTTGACTCCAGAATAAACATAACAAATGAAAGACCAATAACCAATAAAAAAAAATTATACTGTAAAATGGCTCTGGGTCTAGATGTAGTTATGTGTGAATCCTTGAAAGTTTTAAAAGAAGAAATAATCTGTATGGTACATAAGCTATTCTTGAATGTGTAGAACAATGAAATCGTTCCTAACCCTAACATAATCCTGGTTCTAAAATCCAGCAATGATTGTGCACACATACATGCATACACAAACATACACACATACATACAAAATTCAAAATGATCAATTTGGCTCCATTAATGGAGATGTGAAATTCCCAACCAAATTACTAACACTTGGAATTTAACATTATCTAAAAATTTCTTTGGCTACAGAAGGTCTAGCCTAGGAATGCAAAGTTAATTTAGTACTGTGAAAGAAAACTATACATTTTATTAACAGCAAAAACAAAAAATAAAGCTTATCCTAACAGATGCTGAACAGCGTTCAATAAATTAAATATCCATTTCTTAAAAAGTACTTTTAAAGCAGAAGATGGCATCATATCTGTAACCCACACATTTGTTCCCTTGTGCAATATAATCCCTGAATAACTAAGTAAAGTAGATAGAAATGATAATAATGAAGTTACAAGTAACTAAGGAGAAGCTAAAGTATCAGATTTAGTGAAGGTGGAGAAAAAGAGCAGATTTAACAACTGGGAAAAATAAAAAACCAGCCTAGCTGGTGGATATGGACAGATGGAGGAGAGGACTCATTAGAAATACAAAAGAGGTTGGAGGGGAAAAGGGCAGGGAACACAGAACCCAAAGAAGCAGTGGAGACTCAGAATATCTACACTGGGAGTTTTTGGTGGCAACCTTGGGAGTGAGTAGATAATCTTATTGGGAAACAGATCAAGACCCCCTTTGGCTTAGGCTGCCACAGAGTCCAGAAAGAGTGGGGAGAAGGGAGAAACTCCTTCTGAATGGGCCAAACACTGAAGTCAGTTCACAGCAGTGGGCTGGGGTTCAACTTTTCCACGACCCCTTTTTAGCACAGGCTGGACTGAAGTACTGGGGTTTTGTGGCTTCTCAATGCAAGTGGAAAGTAGTGACCCTCTACCCATTAACTTCTCTGTCAATTTTGAACCATGGTCTTTGATTGGCAGGAGGACATCATCATTAGTCAATGGCTCAGGAAGACAAAAATTTCACTGCCTGTCATGGCAGAGCTGTCTGTATTAACTTGTCCAAACATAGAAAATGGGGACTCGCTACTGGAGCCTTTTTGTTTGTTTGTTTTGTTTTCCTTTTCCCCCTCTTCTCCCATGCCTCATTTAATAGAAGGAACATATTAAACTGTCACCAGGTAACAGGAGTTATTACACTGAACACCTCACCCAACAGGTAACACCAATAACTCTTGTGCCACAGAGAGAACAATAGACAGTGGACAATACCTGCTTGCCCCAACTCCAAATCCCCTTCATGATGAACAGAGACCTATACCCACATCCCCACCAGCAATTCCACCAACATAGAGAGAGCTGGAAAGCAACCCAGTACAACTGAGTTAATAACCAAAAACGTACACCTGCTCCACATTTTCAGATACAGTAAAACATAAAATTAGGGTGAAACAAATCAATACATAATTAACAATTAAAGACAACAACTTCAAAATGTCTAGGAAACAGCAGACAACTTCAAATAAAAAAAAACAAAACAAAACAAAAAACAAAAAAACAGGAGAAGACAATAGAAATAAAAGCCCAGGCTAAAGAATAGTGTACCATGGAAGAAGAACAAGCAATATAACTCTCTGAAAAGGAATTCAAAAGGTATATATGTAGGACTCTCCAAGAGCTCAAGGAAACCACAAACAGAATCAAAGAGAAGGCTGGAAGAATTCAGGAAAACTATTCAAGAACAAACTAACAAGATAAGTACACAAGTAGAACTCATACAAAAACAGCAATTAGAAATCCAGAAAATGAACATAAAGTTACAGAGTTAAGGACAAAGTGGAAGGACAGAGTTAAGGACAAATTACAAAGTGGAAGGACAAAAGAGTAGACTAGAACTGACTGAAGAATGCATTTCCCAGCTAGAAGACAAATCCCTTGACACCAGCCTGTATGAAGAAAAACCAGAACAAAGATTTAAGAGAAATGAAAGAGAACCTAAGAGTCATATCAAATGACATTAAAAGAAACAACATACACCTCATTGGAATACCAGAACAAGAGGAGGCCAAAAAAAAAAAAAAAACCTGAGAAAATTGTGGAAGACTTGCTAAGAGAAAATTTTCCCCATATCATGAAGGAAACAAATGTATCAGCCCAAGAAGCTCAATAAACCCCATACAGGATAAATCCCAAGAGCAAGTCACCAAGACATATCATAATCAAACTCTCCAAAACCAAAGACAAGGGAAGAATCTTGGGAGCAGCTCAGGAAAAATGAAGTAACACCTAAAATGAACAACCAATAAGGGTAATTTCTGATTCCTCAGCAGAAACTATGCAGGAAAGAGGAGAATGAAATGGCATATATAAAACATTGAAGGAAAAGAGCTTCCAACCAAGAATCATATATCCAGTCAAATTGTCCCTCAAATATGAGGGTAAAATCAAGACATTCTCAGACAAAAAGAAATTAAGGGAATTTGTGAACCAGAACAACCCTATAAGAAATGCTAAAGGGAGTCCTTCCAATAGAGAAATGACAATAGAGAACAACAAATTAAAATCAGGACACTTGAAATAACCACTTAGAAACCAAACCAGAAATGGATGCTCAAATAAGCTCATAAAATAATGTACAGAGTGAAAAAAATGGCATCAATCTGCAGATGACAAAAGCAACAAAGCAAATAGAGGGAATAAAAGCTTTAATTACAAAACTTCCCAATGGAGAAGAAGACAGGACAATGTCTTTATAGAACTGACTTTTCCAAACTTAAGGAGATAAGAATTTACTTCACAATAACCAC